CTCAGTGTCTCCTCACTAATGCCTGTGGTAGTGCCATCAAAGCCTGCTCAGTAGCCTGAAATGCCAAGGGTAAGGGAACACTGCTGTCTGACCAGCTGTGAATTTTGCTACCTGCTTCTACAGCTACCCCCAGGAGCCCAGGTTTCATCAATACAGTAATCGCAGTGACACACAGTTATCTAGGTTGCATAGTTGGTGCAAACACTCCCAGGAATGTCATATAGCATAGTCCTGGGGAACAGAGGTGCAAGGGGCACACTCATGACAGAAGAAAGTCCTACATCAGTCCCCTGACTGTTGGGGTCTTTTAGCACTGGTTAGTCTCCATGTTGCAATTGAGACTGATTACTCTATGGAGCAGAGTCCCTCCAGGGACAGAGTTTATGGTGCTCAAGATGGTTCCTGCATCCAGGTTACAGGCCAGCAGCAAGTCACACCCAAACCCAGGTGTCCCAGCCCCCTTTTCAGAAGCCTTCCTTGCCTAGAGAAATGAAGCTTTCAGGAGCAAGGCTCTTAGTGTCAGCAGTATTTTGGTATTTGTGTACAGCGCAGAGCCATGTTGCTTGACAGCCACCAAACAGCTATAAAGCAGTGGGACACCCAGTGTCTTGTTAAAACCATGGAAGGAAGAGTAGGCATTAAACCAAGCTCCACTTTAAGACAAGCAATTCTTAGCAATCCTCCCTCCACCTCCTGGGGCCAGGGAGAGCTTTTCTGTGCGTAAGAGATGGAGAACACAAGGCAGTTGGGTTGTCCTTGTACCTTCTGAAACCATAAATGGATGTGAGCATTTACAGTAGTTTCCCCAGCACCTTCTCGGTGAGCATACAGAAAACAGGGGAGTTGCTGAGGAGTTTTGCAACTTCATTTGGAGCCAAGGAAAATGAGATCCCTAGCCAGTAATACAGTGCTATGGAGGAAAACTTTCCCTTCACATACTTGTGGCATTTGGGAGATGAGTATGGTGATTGTACTTTCAGGGGTTTTTAAGAGCAGTTCAGCGATGTATTTCACAGGCATTTTCGGTCTCTCACCCCACCTGGCCATTTCTAAAGCAACACACAAGGAAGAACCACTCGCACAACCAATAGCGCAATGTCCTAACCTTGGTAATTTCAGAGGTAGTTGTAACCAGACAGATGAGTGACCAAAAATTTCCACGAGCAGAGGAGATGGGAGTTAAGTCAGCCACCAAATTTGAGCCACCTGTGATTCCTGTCCAGTCCTGGCAGATCCGAGCCCCAGCGCAAGTTCCCAGAGCAGGAACTATGTGCTCCCTGGAGGAATGGCCAGGAACACTGAGAAACAACAAATATAAAAAAAAAAATTATCAGACCTTGTTGTTTAACTGGAGCCATCCAGCCAATCCACAAGACTATACCTTGTTAAATGCACGATTTTATTACCAGACTGTTCTCAGAATTTTGTTTTCCCTACTGAATGCGAGACTTGGCTAAAATAAAATAAAGCAGCCCTGGCTGTGAAAATCCGCCCATCCTTGGCAGTAACAGGACTACAGACCTGCTTGAAGTGCGGCATGCCAAGGAGATACCAAACCTGGGTTCCTAGCATGCAATGGAAACTACCAAAGCTGTTGTCAAAAATACTAATGTTTTTCTCTCCACTTTTAAGGTTACTACCTAGATGCTGCTTTAATTCTTGTGTGAAAGTGTGCTAAATGAGCATTTTAGAAGTGTCATCCTCTTCCTGCTGTTTGATACTGCAGTGACACCCAATATGAATGGTTTTCATTTTATCTTGAGGAATGTATGCAAAAATGTCATTACAGCAGCCTAAGCAATCAAGAGAGCCACGTACAATCAAATAAATACAGAACTAAAATGGGCTCACTTTTCTATTCAGGTGCAAGACAATTAATGCTCATGGCAGATGCTTGATATTTTATTTGAATAATTGACATTATTTAAAATAAATTTACTACAGAACTCTGGAAAAATTTGTTGTAAAGTAAATGCGATCTAAACACCCGTTTGTTTGATTGCAAAAGATTATCTGGGGCTGGGAGTCAGCGTTAGATCCCCTTCGCACCCAGCTTGTTGACATAGCTGGTGCTTCAGAAGCTGGCCTCCAGCCTCCAGCCACGCGTGGCTGACCCGAACAGCCCACAACGGCAGCAGACTGACCCTTGCACCAGGTTTTGCTGCACCGCCGCAAAAGCCAGCGGTCTCCCCAGCATGGAGAGCTGCCCAGCCACACACCGTGCATAAAAGCTGCTGACACAGGCTCTGGGCTAGGTGACCTGCACTGCCCAAGGGCGCTCTGGCAGAGCCAAGCTGCTGCAAGAGGCAGAAGGCCAGCCAAAGGGAGCCTTGGGCCACATTGCAGCCCTAGGGCATGGGGGTGGCTGCAGCTCCCGGTGCCTGACGGACTGTAGGACCCCAGTAGGAAGTCACCCTCAAAACAAGGCAGCAACCACAGCAGCACCTCTCACCCCACCACATCTCCAGCCATCTGCAGACAGATTAGGAGGCCTCAGCTGCTCCTGTGTGGGTGACTGATAGCTCATCAGCATCCTTACCCAGCTGCTGCTGCCCAGGAACCCTCAGGAGGCAGCTCAGGGGGTCTCTGGCTCAAAGCACAGCCACTGGTTTTGGATCTGCCTCTCCATCAAGGCACCCAGACCTCGGTATCTGGCAGCAGCTAGCACAAGAAGGCAGAACAACCTCTGATGAAGTTAAAACAGTGACAAGTGCCAGGTACATAAATCAATCTGACCTGAGAACCTACGAAAAAGCCCTAAGGTTTCAGGTGTGACTGGGGCGACCATCATCATCTCACCAGCTAGCAGGAGGGCAGAGCCCAGCCTTGCACGAGCCATCAGCAGGACCTGCCCACACGCAGGCTAAGCTCTGTTCAAAACTTGACCACAGAGAATGACAGTACCAGAGTCACTAGTGACACATGGTGCCCAAAACAACTTTCAAGTCTCATCACCTCATGTCACTTCTTGTATGTGTCTTCAGAAGTGCCTCTCCCCTCACTCTGCGGTCTTTCCTTCTGTAAGCAGCCACCACAGAAACACACTTCCAGCCTTAGGCCACCCAGTGATGTAAACCCAAAAACCTCACTGCCGAAGCAAGAGCAACATCACCAGGGAAGTTAAAGATGGGTATGTCTCTTTGGAAGGAGACCAGCTTCACAGGTATGACTTCCCATCTCGACCTCCCTGCTCTCACCTCTACAACAGTCTCCATAAGCAGAGCGGTTTGTGTAGTGGTGTCAAGAGCCAGCCCTGTGCGGGGACTGTGAAAAAACTTAACACACATTAAGACAACAAAAGAGATTATTTTATTCAGAGGTTTTGTCTAAATAGTTGTTTCTTCACTGGCAAGACTTCTTGCCCCTTCAGGACTGCCTAGTACCAGACAGGGATTTGCTTGGATATTAATTCTGAGTAAACCAAAACAAGCAACAGTGGCACAGTGTCAGCAGTGACTGTAAAGCAGTCTGAGTTTTGTTTCCCAGCTTTTCTGACTAATCAGGAACCCCATTTCCTTGTTTCAAACTGTCACATTTCTCACCTGGGAAGGAAAGCTGGGCAACTGCTTTACCTGCACCCACAAAGATGCACCAGCTGCTGAATGTCCATCTTAGGTTTTAACTTCAGCTCCACCACCAGAAGCTGGTGAAGCTCAGTGCTATGGGATACAATGCAAGGCAATCTGTCCTGGTCCTACTCATCATCCATCCCCACATCTCCTAAATATTTGCCAGCTACATCTCTCCTCAGCATCGTTTTGTTTCAACTAAAGGTATGTAATTAACATTGTTGAGCACCTCACAGAGAATTCCAAGAGTTAACACTGGACCCAAGTTAGATGTTTCGGTCATATAAAGCTAGCAACGTAACAGAAAGAAATGCCATCTCCTTTGGGGTCCTGATGAGCTAAAACCTCCTAAAAAAGCAACAAGCCAAGCCTTTTCCCAGTCCTGAAATCCAATGCTCCCAGCTCCATGCTCTAACATGAGTTTGGATCCCTAGGCTTGTTTTTTGCAACAAACCAGAAACGAGCTACAGAAAAAAGCAGCATGTTCCACCACTGCAGCCGCCTGCCCAGAGACCTCTGGCTGTTCTGCCCACTGCAGTGTTCATACATGCCTACAGGAGCAGGCAGCACATGGGCGGGCAGGATCCAGCACGTTCTTCATCTGCTGAAGCTAAAGAGCATGAGAGATCGGAACCATGACACTGGGAGTTATATATGAGGGTTTTATTAGTTGTTCTTCTGCAGAATCAAAATATTTAGCAAATTAAAGATTCCCCAAGACTGCTGATATTTTATGCATTTAGAACTTGAGCAATGTACAACATAATACTTTGAACTATCAAAAACAACCCGAAACCTGATTTCTAGTACTAGATGTTATTATGTAATTCTATAGCAGTGTAAGAAATGGAACTAATGCAGTGAGTATATTTGTTTTAAAGAAAGTGCTTGAAAGAAACCTCCTGCATCACACTGAGTATTATTTAAAAGAAAAAGATAATTGATTTCCTAGCAGGGCATTGTCTTAAATATCCTACAAGCCTGAGGGATTAAGAATACCGAGCCCCAGCTCTCTGCCTTCAGGTTCAAGAACGAACACAAGCTGCAGGTCCAGGTAGAGTTCACAGCTTACCTGCTTCAAGAGAACTTACACACCACTCAGCTTTGGACACTTATGTCTGGCAGAAGTGTTGAATGCATGGGTAAAAAAAAAAAACCACCAAAAACCAGAAGAGGAACAGCTTCTTTTTATGCATAGCGACAGTTTCTGAACCAGTGTTTTACTAAGTTACAGACTAACTTTCAACCAAAAAATAAAAACTCCATTGCACTAAAGGTCAAATTTAACCAGTTAATCTGGACTGTGACACAGTCAAGTAATTCAGTACAAGCAGACACCATGAAAGCAGCTTCAAAGAACCAAAGCATCCTAGTTTCAGAACCAACTTAATATTCTTCTGTCCAACTCCAGTGCAACAGTGAGGGGGGGAAACCACTCCCATCTCTACCTATGTACAATTCCAGTAGAGGTTGGGCAGTCTGAGCTCTCCGTGGCCAAGCTGGAAAAAGGAAACTTAGGAAAGGACACTTTAAAAATTTAATTTAAGAAAGATAGTTGGCTCTCAGTGGAAAGAGAAACACTGGAGTGATGCATGTGGGCAGGTTTGCTCAGTCACCCTCCCATGTATGCAAAAAGCCAGACTCCTTCCTGCCGAGAGCAAGTCACACTGGATGTGAAGGTGGCGGGGCTGGTCCTGCTCCGTTGCACGCCGAGAATCCAGGAATGTGTTTTCAGCTGGCTCCTGCACGGGCCATTAGATCTTCCAAAGCATTGTGTTGGTCATTGTTATGTAATAATAAGACCTCCTTAATGTCTTTTAGTTCAAAGCCCATTTCTTTAAATTGACTCATTAGTTGGAGAAGTTCTGTGATCTGAAAAACACAGAAAGTCCCTTATTTGCAAGAGAAAAGAGGATCAGTGCTTGGTGGAGGTTTTGCACAGAGCCAGTCTTCAGCAACTGAACACCCCACGGGGTGGATTCTTCCTCCCCAAATACAGCCCATTCCAGCTCTCTTTGGAGAACGTCCAGTCACACCAGAGCCAGCAGAGCTCTGGGTGCAGCAGCCCATTGAGCCTCACCTTCAGTCCCCTGTATCTGCAGTCTGCACTTCCAAAATCCTCATCAGCAAGGGTACTAAAGCCCAGCCTGTGCGCGTGTGTGTCTCCCAGTAAGAAATTTATCGGCCTGGCCCAGTTTGGGCTACTAAAAATGTTGATTAACGTCACCCTGCTCCCCCACCCAGCAGCTCCTGCTGCATCTGAATTTTTTAAAGTTACTTTGACTTTGGGAACAGTATAGTAGCCATTGCCATCATTGGCTCTTCAGATCTAGGGGGATTAGCACAAACCCTATTGGACACATGGTGTACGATTCTACCAACAACCACCACAAATCCTCCCTTAGTTTTGAAAAAAAAAAATAAAGTGACAAGTAGTGAATCAGCTGATTGACTTTTATGAACCCTCTGCCATTTACAGGGCCTCCACTCTACTCCATGGGAAAGAAAAAAAAACCCCCAACCAAAAACCCCCAAAACAAGCAAGCAGGTTTAAAAGGGCACTCAAGAGATTGGCCATCTGCAATTTCAGGGTTAAGCTAGTAGCAAACGTGTTTCCTGAACTCAGACACCTCTCCCATCTTCACACTGTTGTTCCTCTATTTGAAAGCTCATCATTAAGTTCAAGAAAGGCAGGAAGCCATATGTATACGTCTGAGGGGGTTGGGTTGCACCTCTAAAGATTTCATATAATAACTTGGGGCACAACAGTCTGTCAGACTATAAAACATCCTGCTGCCCTCTACCCTGGCTACCTGCTCCTGCCTCTGCACCTTTGGTGCTGGTAAAGCAGCCAGACAATGAACCAGACCCCAAACCCCATATTTTTCAGCTTCTTCCAGAGCAGGCCATAACCCAATGTGCTGAGCAGCCAGACAGATGTGTTTGTACAAGGGAGAAAATTCACAGCCAGTGTGTGCTGGTAGGGTTTGAAAGCTGCTTCTGAAATTAACTGTCTCTGTACCAGGCACTTCGCCCACAAGAGAACTCTGGGTTCAAAACTTTTCAACCAGAATAAGCAAGGTCTTTAAAAAATCCTGTCCCCATAAAAATGCAAGTGAGACTAATAAAACAATGCAGAAGAATTCTAATGATTTAACACATATTTGCTTCATCACCACAAGGACATCCTTTGGCAGTCAGGTTTTGGAAACAAGGCAGCACTACCATGAAAGCCAAAATTACATCAGCCAGAGGAACTGCTGCTGGAATTCCCCATCACAGCGCATTCTCTCTGTTCCTTAGCACGTTGTGCCCTCACCTTCTCCTCTGAACACTGGTGCATTTCCAAAGCTGCTTCAACAAGAAGCGGATCAAAGCCCTTCTCACAAAGCTGTCCATGTGCAAACAGGTAATCCAGAACCTGTGGGGAATGAAGAAAAGAAACTACGTTTGCAGAGTGGCATTGGCAGCGCAGGGTTGAATACCATCTCTGTACTTGCAGAGGGGCTGAGCACGACTAACCCAGGCTTCACCAGGCACTGGGATACAGTCCATCCTAGTAGAGTTGAGATGGTCTTTATGCACAAACTTGTTCAGAGAACAAACAAGCCCTGCAGTGCTCTCCCACCAGCTCTATACAGCATCTTCCACTCTAGTCAAAACAGTCTCAGAACCCTATGTTTAGCCTTTCGTGCCCGATGACTAAGCAGAACACAGAAGTTTAACTGTGCTTTTTATACTACAAGTTTTTAAAATGAAACTGTAGGTCCAGCAGTCAAGATGTGTTTAGCTTCCTCTCAGACAGCCGCAAGAGCTGATGCAATCTGAAAGCAGTCAGCCTTTTAAGATCAATTCAGCATACTGGTGGGTGAGCTGCAAATTCTGGGTCAGACACCCAGAAGCTGCTGCCAAATTTCTTATCTGTCCTCAGCCTTGAGAAGTATGAGGAAAGGTCAGATTGGTAATGCTAGGGAGATGAAAGAACGCAGCCTGCAAATACAGCAGGATTTAAAACTGCCTTCCTAAGGCACATTTTTCTGTTTGATACTACAGTTGAGTCCAGTGCACAGCTTAAATCGCTCTCGATGCGTAGGTAGTGGGCAAGCAGATCAGCTCCCCAAGCAGAAGTCACTGGGACACTCCTCCTCCCCAGGCAACAGGCACAATCCCACCAGGCGATGCTCCGCACAGCACACAGCCTGCCTGGGGTCAGCATGGAAAGTTTGGCCATGCTCTCCCTGCTTTAAAGTGTTTGTTTGAAGCGGATCCAAGACGCAGAGCCCCACTTCACCCTGCAGCACCTCATGCTATGTGGCCTGGTTTTAGCAAGCGTTTGAGGTGACACGAGGCAGGAAGCACCACAACCAGAGCACACAAAAGAAAGTCGGTCAGTGGTGCCTTGCAAGAGCCTTTCAGGGCTGTTGTAAGCCTGCAGGGACTCATCTCTCCACGAGGAGATACCAGTGTTGTGACCCCTTGCGCTCACAACAAGGGAAGTTGGCTGTTTTTTTGTCACACAGCACTAAGCAAGGCATAGAGCCACACAAAACTTCCTTTGGACGGTTTTGTGGCTCCTGAGAAGGCCCAGTATCCCTCCCAGCTAATAGTGGAGCTAAGGGCCCATCCCAAGTGCAGTGCAGCTCTGAACCAGCACCCACAGGTGTGGCTGACTCAAGCAGTCTCTCATCAGAAACAGGTGCAGGCACTTTTCTTCACTTTTGGGAGCCTTTACTGCCAGGTGACAACTTCTCTAGCAGTTAATATCACAGCAGCAACAGGTTGCAACCCCCGATAGAATAAAAGTACTCCTCCCTATCCATTTTGCTCACCCAAGGTTGTTTCCCAGCAGAATCAGCATCCAACCAAGGGTTAATTTGCTGTTGCACAAGCTCTTACCTGGTCTATGTTCTGTCCCTTCTTCTTCATGGCTTTCAGGACATCCTCAGGTGAGTACCCCATGTTGACAACTGTCTCTATGCACTGCCTCTCGCTAGCGGAGAGGGCCTGCTGTAGCTCAGGAGCAGGGCCACCAAACCACTTTGCGCAGCTGGTGGTATTGGGCACTTTAGACACTGGGAAATTTTGGTGTGTTACCTAAAGGGAAAAAACCAGCAGCTGAGGTGATGGTCATCTTCTGCATCCCCACATGCTGTTTCTGGCTAGTGCAGAACCAGGATACCCCATGTAATTAATCCAAGAGGTTTTCTAGACTGCCCTTGGAAAGTTACTCACTGTTAGGATAAAACCAAGCAGTGCACTTAGGCTGACTCCCACCATACTCTTCTTACCCACAAAACAACAATCAACCCAGATTCTTCACAATATACCTTCTCCTACCAGTAGGACCAAACCTTTTAATACCCAGCCATTGCAACAGTGAAGGTCCTAATGATACAGCCAAACCCTGTACCTCAGGGGAAGCATGGAGATTGCTTCCTTCACCCCAAGTTTACTCACGATATTCTGTACTCAAAGGAATACTACTTCTAGAGATTTTCAGAAACGCAGTCCAGTACAAGCATACAGGTATATGGGAACTTACCACAGGGATTTCTGTTTCCTTGTAGTCTGGGTGTACCTGTTGGACAACAGAAATAAGATGACTATAAATATTATGCAGCAGTGAGCAGAATTTGCTACAGTTGGGGGAGATGGGTTTTATGGGAGAGATTTGGGAATAAGTCTGCCATACTAGGGAGATCTGTGGTCCGATCAGGCTTCCACATGTGAGAGGCAGACATTACACAGTTCTGTCTAGTTAGAGCACAGCCATCACAAGGATTGTTTCTTCTCTCAGCAGTCTACAAACAGATTGTACTCCAAGAAGGATGTATCGCCCCTCATAACTGTCAGCTTGTTTATTCTGTCACCGTAACAGCTACATGGTCATACGGCTCAGTGTAACGCACTGGCTCCTGTTCATCTCTTAACCCAGTGCTATGCGGCCTGAATGTGGTATTTTGAAGTCATTGCTTAGAGACTTCTCTTGACTTTTAGACCACGAGAAGGAGCAAGAGAAACATATACCCCCCTTCTACTCTCAAAGCACTGTGCTTCATATGCCATATATGAGCAATGTGGCACACTGGCTAAAAAGAGCATGTGATTTTCCTACCAATGCCCACCACTCGGTCCCATTCCCAGTACACCAACAAGGCTGGGTAACGTTCCCTGCTGTACACCTGCTCCGCTTCTGCGGAACCAGGCTGCCAGAGGGCAGAACCAACACACTACGCCCAAGATAACGCCAGTGCAAAGGGAGAACTTTGCCCTCAAAAATCTGCACATTTCAATTCATCCATTTAAAAGTCTTCCTGCATTTTAAACAGAAAAGACTGCAAGAAATTACTGTGGACCAAGAGCTTCAGATTTTTGGGGGTTTTGATATTTATTATGCCAACACAGATTGCCTGAAAGCTTGCCCACTTCTTTTGGAAAGGTGATCTTTCTGAGTTCTGAGAAAATCTATCAGGATTTTGACAAATTTCATTTATTTGGGGGGGGTGGAAGCCCAAACCACCACCAAGGAGGTTTTGTTCTATATTTCAGACTATTTTCATCTCCAGGGTAAGAACTTCTCTTCTAGGAGACAAAGTCTGAGAAATCACGTTCAGTCTGGTGGACTGTTTACCCAAGAACTTCTCCTCATGGTGGTAGAGGGGTTCAAAGCTCTGCACACACACACACTCTCCAGACACTTTTGGTAGAGCAAAAAGCACTGGAATATGGGATACACTTAAATGGGGGTCTGGAGTAGCCCTGAAATCAGCTAGTTATCAAATTGAAGGATGATGCTTTGTTATTGATGCTGCAGTCAGGAAAACTAAAACTGCTTCTGCCACCAGAGATTCAGGAGTCTGGGATAACCAACTCCTCCTCCATCTACTTGAGCTTGACAACCTGTGCTTAGGGTCAGTGATTTCCAGTGGAGGAGGGAAACACCTAAAGGAATTGCAGGGGACAAAGCCAGGACTGGTCACTCAGCAGCTACCCTCCCTTACATCTCAAACTTGCATTTCAGTGCCCTTCAGAAAGCAGACAGCAGTGCTTTCAGTATGTGCTTGCACACTGTGCCTACTTTTAGGGACTTCATACAGAGGCCGGGAACCCTGCCTGCAGCTATGCCCGCACACATCACGCTACTGCAGCGGTATATTCTGAATGGTCCACCATGAGTGCCCCATCCTCTGATAACCAGAGATTTTTGTCAATAGAATGCATTATACTAATCAAGTCTCTGACCAGCTTTGCTTAATTCCAACCTGTTGTCTTCACAAGTCATTTCTCCCTCTGCCAATGCTGCAAAAAGCAAACCAGTGAGCTTCAAAAAAAAAAATACTCAGAGGAGAGGGGACCACTGGGGACAGAATCAGGGCAGCCTCCGAGAAATCACGATTTTATTTCTATCCAAAAACCCTAGATCCAAATCACTGGTAAAGCATAAGCTCTGGTGGTAACTCCAAATCCAAAGCTACAATTTCCAATCTTGTGAGAAAAAAAGTATCTATGAACATCTCTATGGAATACACTGGGACATACAATTGTCCTGAGGCTTTCTAAAAAGGACAGGCTTATTCTTGTGTAAACCTTGCAGAAAAGGGATGCATGACCCTTCTGTTCCCAGCCACAGGGATGACTGACTTCCTTCTATCATTTTCATACTCTGAGGGGTTTTATTACATTTACTTCAATACTTTTGTTGCATTTATTTCAATTTCTTGCAGCTCAGCTGTCATTTTCCAGCCACTGGGACCATATTGTGGAAACATGAAACAAGTATAATCTGAACTCTTGGAATTTAAACAGAAAGTACTAGTTCTGTTGGCATGCCTATTTCTTGGTTGCTACTTCCAAAACAGAAATAGTTTCAAATGAAGATCTTTATTACTTCTCCTAGTAAGTCTATTTTTTTTGTTTGTTTATCAGTTGGTACCTTCCCTTGCAGCATTCTTGAGAATACACCTTCCCTCTTGGTCTCTAATGATCCAGCATTGAGATTTGAATAGTTAGAGTGAAAATTTGGCCATCTGAATGCTGATCTATCTAGTTGTAAGCGATCTTTCCTGTTAATCCCTAGAGATGTGTCATATGTCATACTTCGAGGTTTCACCTGAGCTACATATGACCATACAATTGCCTCTCAAACATGTGATCTGTAGCAGTGAACAGTTGTCCAGCGCATTGCAGCTTCTGCCGAAGTTTACTGTATAAAATGTGTTCTAGTGATCAATAAACAGCTGTTTTGCTGTGCTCTGACAAATACACCAGTCGCCAGAATACTGCATTTCGCAATTAATAGTGCCTTTACCTAAGCCTGAAATGAGGTGAAAGAACAGGAGAGAAGCATTGTCACTTTTTCCAGAGCACATAGTGTCACACAAAAACCTCCAGTATGCCAGTAAGGCCACAGAACGGCTGATATGGGACAGAAGAAACCAGACTATTTTAGAGCCCGCTAGAGGATTTGACTATACAGCTTGCACTAAGTTTCATCAGTATTGGTGTCCAGACCTTAGGTTCTTTGTAAAAAAAAAAAGCCCACAAGCTTACTCAAATCTCTGCTCTTACCCACAAAGAGATAAAGACAACAGATGGCGTGAAGTTAAGTGTCCCCAAAGTAATTTTAGAACTTGCTACAAGTTTGAGGAAGCAAAGCATCAAACTCCTGTCTCAGAGCTGTACAGCAACCAACTCTAATATTAGTGATCTGAGATGATCTTCAAGGCTGCTTTTGGTATCCGCAAAGCAATCCTTCCACCCTCCTTCACAAGGAAGAGGGTAAATACCAGACGGCAGACAGTCATCATTTTCAACCTTTTACAGGTTAGATTTTAAAAGTGTCTCAGGAAGAAAATAAAATTTAAGAATAGACATTTCTTTCACTGCAGGTCAATTGCAACCACTTTCTTCTTTCCTGAAAGACATATCTGTGCTTTTTAATCTATTATTGCTTCTATTCCTTGAAAAGCCTGCATTTCCCATTATTTCCAGCAAATAAGCAAGCTGAGGAACAAATCTAGAAGAGGTTTGACTCAAAACCTAAAAGCACTTCAGAATCTGATATATCTCAGTTGGGTAAGACAGAATGCAGGACTGTGCAAAGAAGACATTTTACACACTTAGTTCAAAGGGGCACAACTATGAAAACCAAGAGATGAAAGACTGCAAGAAAAATCACCAGAATTGGTCATAAAATATCAGATTTTGGGGAAACCTGCAGAGTAATAATCTGAGGTTCAGAACTGCCAGCATGAAGACCTGTTGGATTGATCAGTTTGCTGCACAAATGAAGAGAATCTACACATCACTCCCATTAAATGAAACTAAATCCAAAGCCACATGACACTTTATAAGCAACATTTGCCTCTGCACCTCCACATCTCCCCAGCAACCCCGATTCTAATCCACTGCATGTTTACCGTAGTCGCTGTGCTTTGAGACGATTCTTCTTCTGTCGACACAGCCAGGGAAGGCAGCCTGGATGAAGAGGATAATGTTGATGTCTCCATGCCACTGTCCTCATTTAGAGTGGCAAGACCAACCATATGGTGTCCATTCAGTTCACTAGCTTTACTCTGAGCACAGGTCTGCAAAGAGCTGAGCAAAGTGCCATTGCGGAGACAGGTAGTGCTGTGGAAAGTGCTTGTAAGCTTTGATGATTTTTGATCGCTCTCATCAGAGTCAAGTTTAGGAAAGGACAGGGATTTGATATTGCTCACTGAAGTGATAGGGGACAGGGACACTTTGGAAGACAAGGACATCTTTTCACAGTTTCCCAACTGCGGTAAAGTGATAAAGCCATTGGGTTTGTGAAGGGGCTTGAAGTCCAATGTGGCCCTTCCTATGGATGCCAGAACTTCATCGTCTTGCAACATGGACTCAGACCCTCCTTTGGGCAAAGTATTATCTAACAGCTGGGCAACAATTGGCCCAGTAGTACCAACATGAATTTCAAGAATATTTTTTAATTCCTCCTTATCATCAATAGTTTTTAATTCCAGTTTGTCAAATGGGTCTTCTTCACATTCAAAATCAGCTGGGTTGAAATCTGCTTTTGGACGAGGTGGACTGAGAGCCTTTTGCTTCATAGCACTGCTGTTGGCTGGCATGGGAGTAAGAATATTATTGTGCTGCAGGCTAGCAAGGATGGGGTTAATAGGAGGAGGCATGCCCTCAGGGCAAGGTCCCTCCGAGAACCCCATTTTGTTGCTGTCCTCTGGAGCTGCTTTTGAGTTCGCTAGCACTTCTGCCTTACGTTCAGCTTCTCTCTGGGCAGCTTGAATTTTTTTGATATCTTCAGCCCACTCAATTGTTTTCTTTTCCAGTGAGAAGTCATACTGACCAGGGGTGGAGGGGAAACAACATGAGGAAAAAAAAAAAAAAAAGATAAATTATAAGGATCATAGCCACTACTTCTAACAGCAACATGAGCAACATCGAGTAAGAGCTACATGAATTACCATGGACAAGCATAATTTTTTCCCAGCATCTCTTGTAACCTACAGACTGGTGAAGCTAGCAGATAACAGAAGTAGTTCATTTTGCGTCTAGCAAGAAAACCTGGCTATAATCTGGATTAGAATATTTTGCCTCCCTCCTACATTTAGTTTTACTTTAGAGTTACTGATCATCCCCAGATCAGTTTTACGGCCCTCCCACCCTCTCCCCCACCTCTGACAACAGATGTGGTAAGGGAAAGTCTAATGCGTTACTAGATGGACAATCATACCCACATCTGGCAGCACTGCACTACCCCCTATACACAAGTTGCACAAGTCATTCAAGACTATGGCAGTGCATTTCTGCATCACCAGCCAAAGGGGGTATACAGGCTACACCGACAATGACAACTACCTGCAGTAGCAGATTTTGCTGCAGTTACTGGTGTGACAGAATCCCACAAGCTTTTCTCATTTAACAGCAGGTCCTTCAGGGCCAGGTTAACACAGGAAAGCATTTGTAAGCTACGCACTACCAGTTTACTGGCCATTGTAGTGCCTTGGTTGAGAGGACAAATATCTGAACAGACTAAACCTACTTAAAGCTTTAATATTTTACGAAGAATGAACAGCCTCAAATGCTATTTAAATGACCACGATGTGTTCAGAGAACATAGTCTTGTTCAGAGAACAAGCTACGTCCAGGGTGTCATCAGGACAATAAGTCATAAGCTATCCTTGCCAGGATAATGGCACATAACCGAACAGGAGTGCTCTTGCCATGGGAATGCTGGGTCATACAAATTCCTAGCTCTAAAGAGCAACAAGCCAAAGGCTCATTAGGCCTCTACTAGGCTCTTCTGGGAGTCACTATGTAGTGTTTCACATCCCATCCTACAGTGGGCCCCAGTGGGATCCTGGAGACCTGTTGTCCCAACTGTATAACAGTTTTCCCTTCCCTTAGCTCCAAGACTTCAAGAGGTGTGATACACAATTTATCAGCAAGGTGACTCTGAAAAATGACTCACTGGCAGAAGTGCTGGGCACTACTCACATTGCTATCTGAGCAGAGCTATCGCAGTTTTGTATGTGCATATACATATATGGTCAGCTAGATGGCCAAAATTGACCAAAGCCATATACTTTTTTATATTAAAAAAAATGAGGGTATTTGTATAAAAATATATGGCTTTGGTCAATTTTTTGCTTCTCTGTAGCTCTGACTACAGCTGTACAAAAGTCAAATTGCACTATGAGATGCATAATCTACACAGGCACATCACATTATGCAAGGCATTACAAGCCAGCAATAGAACATTAGAGTCTCCTTTAGCTCTCCCATGCCCGCTTAACTGGGTGGAAATATGCATATCTGGACAATGAAAAGCCATGATGTAGGGTAATTCAGATATTCAGCTCACCGATGGATGAGTTGCAGGAGAGGAGAAAAAAAAAAAAAAGAAAAAAACTAGCAGAACCATCTACCACAATCTGTCACAGCTGAAGTGAAAGCAATCATCAGTTTGGATTGACCAAGGAAAATCATGGATCCAAATGAGAAAATATAGTTCAATTAGATTTTCTGTATCACAACCTACATTTGAAGATTAGATTTTCAACAGTTATACTAAACCAATTGATTTTATGCTAGCAAGAGTTTATGGTAACAGAGGGGTGCTCCTCAAAGCCCTGGAAGCCATCTATACCAAGCTGTAACTGCCCTACAGCTGGAAAAGAATTCCCACTCAGATCTGCACCTAAAACCTGGAAATTTATTTCTACATCCCACTATTGTGAGAAACCATAAAATATGTTCATAGAAACACTTGTTACCCTGAAACAAGATTCTACAAGTATGCCGTAGCATGGGTGTAACAGTTCTTACCATTTTTCCTCTTAAAAATGCTACTAAAATTTAGTCAGGGTAACATTTAGACCTCTAACTATTACACAAAAACACCATGCTTTTTTGAAGTAGATAGATAAATTATATTAGGCTTTTTAAAGTGATAAGAAGTAGAAGCTTTTTGCACAGCCTATCACATTTTTATCTTTCTATACATTCTAACAGATCTTCTGCAACTACTGCCTGGCATACAAAATGACACTACAGGACCAACAAGACTAACATTTGAACATGTGAGCACACTGTGAGTACTTGCAATTTACAGCACCACACGTTGCGGGTGAGGGGGAAGAGAGCAGAAAGGCAAAACACATCACTTACCTGGGCTTCTCTGACAAGCTGAGAAGAATCAGGTAGGCAGAAACCAATGGGTAATCCAACCTTCGCTGGGGTTTTGAATTTGTCTCCTATCTTAAATGGCACATCATCAAGGTAACTGAAAGGCCCTAAGATCAAAAGCAGAAATTGTATCACAAAAATTGAATGTATTAAACTCATATGACCCTGCTTTAGAGCAGCTAAGACAAACTAAAATCCAGGCTTTGGCATACAAGTAGGAAGTAACTTCTGTCCAAATGTTATCACAAGGACAAAGTCTAGATGCTTGACTTTAACCAAAACACAGTGAAATACCTAAAGACTATTTAGCATACTAATTCTGATTTTTGAAACAAGGCAGTCTACCTTAATCAGCTGATTTGTGATCACTCCAATGTGAGGCCTCAGACCTATTTCATGGTCCTCCATCTGCCCTTTATATCTATCACTTACCCATGGTATTTAAAGTGTTTTAGGACAAAACTCTTCAGACATCCTGCAAACTCATGAGGCAGAATCACTTAGAGCTCAAACACCTCCAAGAAGCCAGACTATAGGTCTGTCTTCCTTGAGCTGCTGTGAAGACATATTAGAAAACCTAAAATATAAATTGTAATCAGTTTCTTGATTAACTGAAAGTGGTTTCTTGGATCACTGGTCTAAGCTTTTGAAATTACAGGCAATGTTTCTGGCTGTATATAACAATCTGAAGTGCTCCTCTAGTGCTCATTTGTAACGTCACTGAGCGTTGCAGATCCAAAAGGACATTAGTGGCAACATCTAAGATGGATCTGTGACTAAGATGGATCAGTGACTAACCTCTTGCTCAGTGAGCTGTGGCTGGCCGTTTTTATCTGACCTGTTCACATACTCAGATGACAGTTGAAGTACTGTTTGTGTTCCTTCACTGTTGACTCATCTACAACAAGGCAGCCACAGGCTCCAAACAGACAAGCAGCTTTCAAAAACAGGAACATCCTGTTAATTTGGAGTTAATTGTTTATGTGCTGTCATCAGCTGAGCTCTCATAATATGCATTGCATTAGCTGGTCCAAGAGTCCTGTTAGGACTCAGATGGTATTTCCTCCAGCTTTGAAACTGTGAGGCTGAATAATCTACATCCCACCTGCACCACAAGGACAAAAAAAAGCTCCAGGCAGAATATAATAGTAATTTCTCTGATCCTTACTGAGAAGCACACATTTAAGCATTAGCACAGCATCCAGATGGCACCTCACTGGCCACCAACACCACTACTTGCAACATGGCATCCAAATGGTATTTGAGCTGGGAATTTGAGAACCTGGATTTCCCAGAGCATTTGCTTATGCAGAAATAGCAACTGTGGCAGCCTTTCCACTGAGAGTGGTAAATCATGGCGAAGTCAGACAACCAGATCTCCTGACTGTTCAGAATCTGGTGTGTCTGCTGCTACTATGCCATGCTTAGTCCCATAGGCACAAGTCATGCTCTGAGCAGGATGATCCAAGTGAAGCAGGATTACCTCTCTACACCGATCTCACAGCCCAAACTCCTCAGTGTGCAAGTATTTGTCTTATTAGACCTATTGACACAGAAAGTGGTAGACACCTCCCCCTGCACAGCTGCTGCCTTTGCCTGAAATAGATACTAGCCCCAGAGGGTACAAGCACACATTGTGGTATTTACATGACCACGCTGTTTTGGTGCAGTAAAAGAAACCTAAACACACCTAGACTAGATGGACTGCATTGACAGCTGCCAGTTTTACCTCAAAAGCTAGACTAAGGAATAAAAACCATCTAGTTTCTTCCTAGTACACTGATTTTTTAATAATGACCACTGCTATAACCTTATCTTGAATATAACTCTGCTACAAAACATGCAACCACAGGTTAAGAAAAACACCAAGTGTTTTAAGACATTTGATAATAAAAAAGTCTTTCTGAGGCAAAATGCTGATGCACACAACATTCACTGTGTTGCAGCCCAGTCAGAACAGTACTAGTCTAGTGAAGTTAAAATATAATCCAGAAAGTCAAGAACCCTCTTGTAAACGGATGAACCTTTCTTTTTGTAAACGGATGAACCTTCTGCCTGAACACACTGATGGGTAAAGGTGCTGTTTTAAACAGCAAATTCTAAAGCAATAAGCAAAACCTACATATACAAAGTAATTCGCAAGCCACTGTTTCAATACTCATATGTTCAAGTGAAGCAATTAAAAGTTTGTTTGAACTGTTATTTAATATGGGTGTAAGCCACTTCATCCTTTTAGCAGTTAAAAGCACATTGAGGAAGTTCTACTGTACCTGTCAGTCTGACTTCTGACACTGTGCACTATATGATATTCCTGGCCCAAGAATATACTAGGAGAATAAGATTTCCCTGCCCTTTAATGTAAGAAATCACTGGCCATCTCATAGAAGTGACCTCCAGTTTGGTAGCAAATGGAAATATTTCAGATAAATCCAGTTACCAGTTATGAATGGGAAACAGTTTTGAAACCAGGTGGAGCCTAGTTTTGTGGTCAGACAAATCACTTACATAGTTTTCAGAAATTGGAGTTAAAAGCTTTCAAGTTGTATAGGGACAGTGACAATACAACAGCAATAGTAATGTACTGCACTTTGTATAACCCAGGCTGTTTGCACAACTGATTAGCTGCATTTCTAGATGCCACTAATTACTAGAACTTAAGCTTGAACTTCCACTTATTCAAATGACAGGAGAGCATTTGAAGTTACATGCTTAGGCATAGTTATAGATGTATGGTAAGAATACCCTTCAAGACAGGAACAGGGTTCCTTTCTCTCCATCCATACATTATGGTCCCATCTTCATGCCATCCCGAGGGACCTTGACAGGCTGGA